ATTTACATCTACATCTACAAAATAACTTTATTGTAACATCAAGATTGGGGAGTTTTCACACTTCCATTGGTTCTCTTTGGGTGGCTGCTATTTGGCTCGTCTTTCTTTCAATTCTAGAATATATTGTCTGGATTTTAAAAAGTTTATTCTTTCAGACTAATAAAAAGGATGCATAAGTGTCCATGAATAACCAATATATATTTCCACATAGAAAACTCTTTTCCAAAAGGACAGTTATTACCTTTTACAGGTGGCTAGATTAGGGACAAAGTGGGGGGTTGTCTCGACTGAATGCCTGCGCTAAACGAAAATTAGCTGTCCCTGCCACGGAAATCAGGCACACTAATTAGATACCTATGGGAAAATCCAGAGGAGGCCCCCACACAATGCTAGGCACCAGCCACATTCCATCACCCAGCCAAACTCAGCCAATACCCGCAACGACACCCAGTGGAGATAAATAACACAGGCCGAGGGCAGGGCCGTCTCTTTTCTCTTGTTCCCGTGTGCTCTGCAAGTAGAGGGTGAGATTCCTCCCGAGCTCCTCTTCTGGCTTTCCTTCCACGTGTGTTTCCACGCTCCCCTGAAACGCCCATCTTCAGTTGTGACCTCTCCCTAGGTCCCCGTGAGATCTGGCATGCTTTCCAGAAATAGCATGCACCTTTTTGAGGCTGTAATACCTGAAACTTTCCCTTTCCTTCATAAAACTCACTTGGATTACAAAAGTGCTCCTGCTGTGTGAATTCTTTCAGCTCCATGAAGCAAAGAACCAAGGTACCCCGATCCAGGAACCTAACACCTTCAGATAGAAACAGGCAAGGGCAGTAGGACAGAATAAAAAAATCATGGGCCTAATTAATTAAGAGTCAGTCTCAAGTTCGACTTCTGCTTCCCAATGTTATTAGTTTTGTGACTCTGAAAAGCTGCATTTGACTAGGCACATGCTAGTTGTTTAATAGTTGGTAGTGATTTGCACCTAGTGTTGTAATGGTTATATTTTAACTGTTTGGCATTTTTTGGAAATAGGTAGAGGGTAAAGAAATGTGATGTGCTTCATGACCAGATCGTAAATTGCCTTGAATAGACTGTTGGTACTATTATGGAGAGTAAGAGAGATTCTGATGAGTGCTCTGAAGGAACTCAGGCCTGTGAGGACAGCTCCTATGATCTTGAACAAAGTGCTGCTAGAAATGTGTATGTTACATGAGATTTTCACATGGAAAGGGTGAACATATGATGTGGGCACAGGAGGAAAGATGAAACTTTTGTAGTGGTAAAGAACTTGTCTGGATTATGTTCATAGGCCTGGCAGAAGGTAGAAATTGTGTGTGCTGAATTAGGATATTTGGCTGAGGAGATTTCAAAGCAAAATGTTAAAGGGGCAGCATGATTTCTCTTTGTCATTTAGATTAGAATGTGAGAGCAAATAGATTTTAAAAGGAGCTATGAAAAATGAAACCAGCATTTGAAGATTTGGAAAATTCTATGGTACAAACTAAGGGCGTATGTCCTAGACCTCTCACCAAGGGTGTGTCAACTCCATGTTTTGTCGAGCCAGTGACTGATGGAGCTATTCATCTGCAAAAGCAATAATCACATCAGCTTCGATGGAAAGGGGCAGAGATAGTTCAAATGAAGGAAAGCTTCCTGCCTCCCAGAATTCTATAAGCAGGAAATGGGCAATGGAGTGACTTGTTCAGGAACAATACCATAATGTCTGTTCTTTTTATTTCAGCACTGTACTGGAGGCCCTAGTCAGGGACTTAAAAAACAAAGTGAATCTATATTTGCAGATAAAATGACCTTGTATTTAGAAAAGCTTATGGAATCCATCAAAAACATTAACCAATAAGCAAAGGCTACGAGTTTATAGAATATATATAATATCAAATTTTTAAAATCATTTTATTGGGGGCTCTTACAGCTCCTATAATATTCCATACATCAGTTGTATCAAGCTATAAAATCAAAATTCACCTCAGTATACTAGCAATGAACAATCTAAAAATGGAAACGATGGGAGCATCTCACTTATAAAAGCCCCCAAAAGAATACACTACTTAGGAAGAAATTTAACAAAAAAGTACAAAACTAGTATGCCAAAAATCATAAAAGGTCATAAAAAGAATTTAAAGACGACATGAAGGAAAGGCATATTGTTAGCTTTCTGGGATGGTTGTCCCTAATGGTTGCTTCTCAATGCTGTAAGAATTTCCATGGCAGAAGCACTTTTGTACGTCCAGGTAACTTTTATGAGGGAAAAGGCAGTTTCAGGTAATGCAGTTCAGATAGTACGTACTAGGCCTGGAAAGAGTGCAAGGCCGCACGGGGGACCACGCGGCTGCTTCTGGGAAGGGGCAAACATGTGAAAAATGGCCCAAAAGAGGAGGCTGTGAACCCAACCAAAGAGGTGTGCCTGACCGAAAGAAAGGGAGAGAGCACTCAGTGTTCCCCCTCCTGCTTTTTAGTGCTTCCTCCCTGCACTTGGGAAGTTGTGGTTGAAGTTATTGGCCATTCTTAGTGGCTGCCTTTAGGCACACGTAGGACATAGATAGGGTTGCCAGTTTCTACTGTCAGTGCCTGCCCAGGCGACTTTAATGTGCGCATGCCCAGTTTTGAGTCTTTCCCCACAGGTTTCTAATGTGTGCCCAATTTCTTTCAAACCCCTTTTTTTTGTGGCATGGCCAGGTAATTTTTGTTTTGCATAGGTATTTGGTGTAGAGCCAGTCCCTTTATCCCTAATCTGTCTATATCATGTTTGTGGAGTGGAAGACTGAATATTGTTAAGATGGCAGTATCCAATTTATCCAAATTGATTTATGGTTTAGCATATTCTCTATCAAAAAATCCCACCAGGCTTTTTTGCACAGATTGATAAGATCCTAAAAATCCATACAAAAATGCAATGGGCCAAAAATACAGGATACAATCTTGATGATATCGGACAAAATTGGAAAACACACACTTCCCAGTTTTGAACGTTATTACAAAGCTGCAGTCACCAAGGCAATGTAGGAATGACATAAAAATAGATGGACAGCAGAGAAGTGGGTGAAGGGAGACATCGGACGGTGTAAGATATGACAAAATAATAATAATTTATACTTATCAAGGGTTCATGGGGGAGGGGTGAGCGAGGAGGGAGGGAAAAAATGAGCGAATACCAGGGGCTCAAGTAGAAAGCAAATGTTTTGAGAATGATGAGGGAAACAAATATACAAAAGTGCTTGACACAATGGATGGATGTGTGGATTGTGATAAGAGTTGTACAAGCCCCTAATAAAATTATTTAATTACAAAAAAATACATATAGATCAATGGAATATAATTGAGAGTCCAGGATTAAATCTATATGTTTATCATTAATTCTCTTAGAAGAAAACAGGTATAGAGAAATTGGAATCCTCATATACTACTGTTGGGAATATTAAAAGGTATATCTAAAAAAAAAAAAAGGTATGTCTACTTTGGAAAATATTTCTTCAAAAAGTTAAAATATAGAGTTTTTATCTGAGCCAGCAATTTTCTCGATATTGTTTTAAGATACAAAAACAACCCCATCTCAAGTATAATTTAAGGAGAACATTTATTAAGTCTTAAAAGGGACAAAGACACAGATACATCTTCTGGTTGAGGAAGGCTATAAGCATAAGGTAAAAATGGCATCCTAGGATTTATGTCAGGATACTACTTAAAATACTGCACGGAACAAGGAAAACAGGGAACCGGTCACAAATTCATGACTGGTGGCAGATCAATACAGCACAATTACAGGTGGGACTACAGGAGTAGGACCATGATTAGGACCCCTACATTACATTAGAAGGGCTCACAAGATTACTCAAGGGCCTCTGATCTAGTCTGTCAGGTCAAGACGGATAGGGCCTGGCTCAGGACTATGCAACCCTCTGTACTGTGTCCCCGTTTGGTAATCTCCATCAAGGACACACCAAGCAAGCCCCTAGAGGTTACCCTTCCCAGGGCTGGCTGGAGAGGGGTGGAGGTTAATTACTTTTGTCAACGATCACAAAGAATTCAGTGGAGGATTACTCTATGTGGGGACTCTGCAAATGGATTTTAGGTTCTCACTGCTATCCATAGCCCTTCGCAAACTAGGGTGCTCAGAATTTAAGTTGCAACACAGTATATACTTCAAAGAAGTAAAAATGTATATCCACAAAAAACTTGTAAATGAATATGAATAGCAGTATAATTCATAATGGCCCCCAAATGGGGAAAACCCAAATGTCTATCTCCTTATGAATGGATAAACAAATGTGGTATATCTATCTATCTATCGGAGGGGATATTATTTCCCCATTAAAAGGAATGAAGTATTAAAACATGCTATAACATGGCTGAACTTTGAAAATATTATGCTAAATGAGGGGACAAAGACATAAAAGGTCACATATTGTGATTCCATTTATATAAAATGGTCAGAATATGCAAGTTTTCAATAGTGGAAACAGAAAGTAGATTAGTGGTCCCCAAGGGCTAGGGAAACAGTGGGAGAGGATGAAGAGTTAGAGTGATTAAAAAATGTTCTGGAATTAAAATTGATGCCTATGTTTATGAGGAGCGCAGTGGTGTAGTGTGTTACACTTTGGACTGCTAACTGAAAGGTCAGCAGTTCTAAACCACTAGCCACTCTGCAGAAGAAAGATGAGACGTTCTACTTCTATAAAGATTTACAGTCTCAGAAACTCACAGGGACAGTTGTACTCTGTCCTATATGGTCACTATGAGTCAGAACCAATTTGATGGTAATAAGTTGATTTTTTTCTTTTTTCTTTTGTATATGCCTAAGAAAACACTAAACCCACTGGCTTGCATCGCAAAAGTGTGAGTTCTAGACTATCTGAATTATATCTAAAAAAAAAAAAAGAGAGCGAGCGAGCTCAAAAGAGTAATAGTTCTTTCTTTTCACTTGTTTCTTAAGACTGAAGGAGTTGTAAATCATTTAGACATACATGGTTAACGAAGCACCAAAATCTTACCTCGGTTCCTGTTTCTCTCCAATCCCAAGCTCGACTGCCCCCTGGCCACACTTTGCAGTCCTTATAGGTTTTGGTAGAGCCTTGGACTTTCATTTGTCCCCAGGAGAGGGAAGCAATTTCAGGGGAAGACATAGAAGGCCTAAATGAGAAGAAAAGTAAACCATTTTATTTGTGAAGTTAGGTTTACTAAATAGCTCTAAAAGTACAAGGATAGGCAGCCCACATTCTCTGAGGCCCTGAAATACCCAGGCATCAAAACCAGATAACAAAGTTCTTCTGAGGCGACAAAGAAAATCCTTAAGAAACTTTTGAGAGTTAAAATTAAAAGGTGGAGATTTACTATAGCGTGATGGTGTGATGAGATCGACACATTCTCTCCTCCCGAAACAAATACAAAACTGAACAAAACTGTTCAGAAACAAGTTAGAAATTAAAGGCATACTACAAACTGAGCAGAAAACCAATTTCTAAAAGCCAACAATAAATCTTAAGGTTCTGGCAAAGCAGCTCGAGAGCAGTAACTAATTGAAGGAAAAAACAATCTAGAATTGCCTGGATAGAAGGCAAATGGGAGAAGAAATAATGACATCAAAAGCAAGTCCACTGTCACCGAATCCTTCAGACTCATGGAGACCCTATAAGACAGAAAAGAACTTCTCTTTAGGATTTCCAAAACACTTTATGGGAACAGACACCTCATCTTTCTCTCGGAGTGACTGGCAGGTTTGAACAGCTAATCTTGTGGTTAGCAGCCCAATGCCTAACGGATAACCTGCTTGGCTACTGGCAATACTCAGTTACAATTGGCAATAGTTAACTACAATATAAACTGTTTCCCTATTGAAAGTAATTGGTAATTAGGGTCCTCAAATTTTTCAAATTTACAAAAAACGAATCCTGGTGGTGCTTGGTGTGTTAGTCTGGGTAGACTAGAGAAACAAATTTATAGAGACTCGTATGTGTATAAAAGTTTTATATAAAGAGTAATTGTATATGAAGAAAGCATCCTAACCCAGTCCAGATCAAGTCCATAAGTCCAAGATTAGCTGGTATGACCGATACCAATCTATAAAGTCCTCTTCAGACTCATGAAGCACATGCAATGACATTGAATGCAGGAAGATCACAGGTCAGTGGGTTGGAAGTCTTCTGGATCCCGTGGCATTGTAAGCATCTCAACACTGGCAGGGGTCTACGTGGTTTCTCTGGCTCCAGAGGTCTGCTTGCATCAGGGTAGGTCCATGTGGCTTCTCCAGTTCCCAGGGCATGGGGTCTATCAGCATAGTGCTATGTGTCTTGTCAGTAGAGCATCTCCCAGGGAGTAGCCTTGTTCAGTAGAGAGTCTCCAAGGAGAGAGAGGAGTCTCCCGCCTCCAAGGAGGAAAAATACAGGAGTTCCCAGAATTCTCAGGAGAAGGCCATGTCTACACAGAGGCCTCACTAGTTATATCTTGATTGACAGGCCAGACTCCACCCCTTCACTCATAATCCTCTCAAATTGGCAAACGATTATATAACTACCACACTTGGGATAAGCATTGGGCTGCTAACGATGACAAGGTTGGTAGTTCAAACCCAATAACCTCTCCATGGGAGAAAGATGAGGCTGACTGCTTCCTTAAAGATTTAGTCTTAGAGTCTATATAAAGACACTATGAGTCAGAATCAACTCAGTGGTAGTGGCTGTAGGTTTGACTATTATGTCAATATGTTTTATTTCTAATTGTTTCATATATTGAAAAATAAATATTTGTCATAGGTATTATATAAATTCCCATTCCCCACCCCCACCCCCACCCCCCCTTCTTGAAAGCCTTATTTTATTCTATGTGAATCTGATTATTTTCTACGTGCAAATACTTCCTGGTTTATTCTTTAAAAGATTAATTGCCACACTAAATTATTGTGTGTGTATGTCTAAAAATTGTTCCGATTAGGGTATAAGCTCCTCGAAGACAATAATTATGTTTTGTTATTCTAAGTAATATTTACACTTGTTCCAAGTATTGGATAAAAAATGTTTTTTATTTTTCTTTCTTTAAATAAAAGGAAGAGAATAGACACCATTTATTGATTATCTAGAAGCTCTGGTGGTATAGTGGTTACTCATGGTGTTGCTAACTGCAAGGTCAGCAGGTTGAAACCACCAGCCGCTCAAAGACAGTGCTTGCTAGTCTTTTTAAATCATTTTATTGGGGGCTTGACAACTCTTCTCACAATCCATACATACATCCATTGTGTCAAGCACCTGTATACATTTGTTGCCATCATCATTCTCAAAACATTTGCTTTCTACTTGAGCCCTTGGTATCAGCTCCTCATTTCCCCTCTTCCTCTATGCTCCCCCTTATAGCAGTCTGCCTCCAGGGAGGATGTCTAAGCATCTGACCTCCCCAGACAAACAACATAGTATCTTCCTTTAATCGTAAATTTTCCTACACATTTAATCACAAATTACTCTAAAGCGTTGCCATCACGTGGATCCACACTCATAGGAACCCTAGTGAGCAGAGTAGAATTACCCCATAAAGTTTCCAAGGATGTAAATCTCTACAAAAGCAATCAGCCATAGCTGCCATCCAAGGGGGGGTGGGTTTGAACAGCTGACCTTTTGGTTAGCAGTCAAGTACTTCACCACCACAACACTAAAACTGCTGTTGTAAACATAGCTTGTACTTTACAGTCTTTTTAAGTATCACTTTGAAGATTTTACAAAGAAGTGAATTGTACGCAAATTAAAACTGTAGGCTGAATTCTTATAGCTGAATTTGATTTCTCCAGCATAGCAACAAAAATTTTTAAGTACTTCCAATGTACCATGGCATTATGCTAATCAATTTCCTGTGAATTCAAAATTCTGTTATGCAGCTATTATCATTATGTCCAATTTATAGAAGTTTAAAGAAACGAACCTTCCGGCAGATTCAGCGAGATCACTTACGTCTGGCTGAATTAAAAGCTCAGGTTCGGAATCATTCTGCCTATTGCCTCCCAAGCTGTACATTCTCTTTTGCATTGCAGTTGATTGGTGGTTTTTCTCTGGGATTCTTTGTGGGAGAATGTTCACTTCTGTGCCCCGACAATGTGGAACCTTGTCCCCTACCACATACGGTATTTTGCTTTTTCACTAAGTCCTTTACCAAGCGCTATCCCTCAACGGAAGCTTGACCTACCTTCAGATTACGTTCTCTCAATAAAGGCCCCTTCCCTAACACCCCGGTTCGTGAGAAGAACCCAGTCCCTTCTTACCCTCGTGACACCCACAGGGTCCCAGGACAAACCCGTTCCTCTAGCATCCTGGTCATCGGACAGTTTCGTGTCTCAGACTCTTGTTTCTTTCGAACATCCTCCCAAAGTCTTGCTTTTCCCCCCTCTAGTCTCCATGTGCTAATATCCTCAATTTCCCTCACCTTCTTGTTGTTCAACTTCAGTTCTCCAGGGTCCCCTCAAAACTCACCGAAATCTCCCCCGGAATCGCTAGCGCAGACGTTTCCGTGCTTTACCTCTCACCTCAGTGGGTTCAACCACTGGGCGGCGCGCTCCCCGCCCCTCTCACACGCCCCGCCCCGAAAAAGCCTATCGGCCAGTCAGAGCAAAAACCCCCGCCCTCGCCAAGCTGATTGGCCACCGTCCCTGAAAAGTTCCGCCTCTCCAGCTTCTAGCCAGCCTCCTCGCCCGGCTTCCCTTGTTTTCATTCCCCCTGTCACACGAGGCCGTGGCGAACCCGAAGTGGGCGGGGTGAGGTACGGGAGGAAAGGGGGAGGAAAGTGAAAGGCACAGAGTGCCTCTCTTTCTCCCGTCTGACTCGGTTCTCGACTGCTCCGGGACTCCGTTGTATTCTGGGATCGCGACGCCGTCCCTGAGACGCTCGGGTCCGCAGGGCAACCCACTCGACAGCGCCTCCTGTCGTCTGTAAGACCACCTTGCCACCCCCGACACCCGCACTCCCCCTCACCACCACCCCA